CAGGGGGCGGCGGTGATTCGCCGTAGGCGTCTTCGATAAATACAAGCATAAATCCGCCGACCCCTTGGGGATCATCGGCGTGTGAGATGCTTCCCCCTCCCCAAACCCCTCCCCCGGGAGCCCGGTCCGGTCGATTTGGAGGGGGGGGGGGGTCCGGCGCGAGCGCAGCACGGCCGGGACGAGCGGTTCACGGGGCTTTTCCGGGCCCAAGAGGGCCTCAAGACGGGCCAAGAAGCCCCCAAGAGGCCTCCAAGACGGCCCACGAAGGCCCCGAGACGCCAAACGACCGCTCCAAGACGCCCAAGATGGCCCCAAGACGGGCCAAGAGGTCTCCAAGACGGCCCCCGAGGTCCCAAACAAGCCTCCCAAGAGGGCCCCAAGAGTCTAAAATTGTTGATTTTCCATAGTGTTTTTCTATGTTTTTTGCTTTTCCGCCTTTTCGGCTTCCCGACGCTCCAAGACGGCCAAAGAGGCCCCAAAGACAGCCCCAAGATGGCCCAAGAGGCCCCCAAGACGGCCTCCAGACGGCCCAAGACGGCCCCAACACGGCCCAAGAGGTCCCCAAGACGGCCCAAGAGGGCTCCAAGACGGCACCAAGAGGGGCCCAAGAGGGCGACCAAACATGTTGAAACTCTAGCTTTCTGCCCCCAGGAGCCCCAGGGGGCCCCAAGAGTGCCCCAAGAGGCCCCCAGAGGCCCTCACGAGGCCGCCCAGACGCCCCAAGGAACCCCCAAGAAGCACCCCAGAGGCTCCGAAACGGCCCCCAAGTGGCTCCCAAACTCGCGGTGTCGCCGTCCGCTCGGACCCCCCCGCGGAACTGCCCGAGACCCTCTGGCGGTGGCGGCGAACAGACACCAAACAAATATCACTCGCCTTTTCACCCCTTCGCAGCTTCTACTACCCCCAGATTGGCATAAACAAGGGGTCGGCGGTGTGGCGTAAGCCTAAGAATCACGCAGTATCCAGAAGCCGTAACAGCAACTCTCCCACAAGGTGTCGGCGGTACGGCGTAAGCCAACGGGGCCGCGGCTTAGAACAGCCCGGATTGGCACACCCGTCCCAGGGAAGGGGTCCAGACCGCCCGGGGTCCACGCTATCAGGACGAGAATGATGTCATAATGCTATTGGCTCAAGACACGTTCCAAGCATTCTGCAGTCTCTAGCGGCCCTGTTCATATCCTGGCAATTGAGGTCTAGGAAATCTTGAACCTCGACGCCATCACGACTTCTTGCTCCTCTGTGTTGTGACAGATCGCGCCGCTGGAGTTCTGGGAAGCAGGAGTGTAGGACGGGGTAGGGCAGGGATGAGGGGCGGGGGAGCAGGAAGACCTGAGCAGGGAGGGTAGCAGGGATGAGCAGGAAAGAGGTGGAAACATATCGGGGGGAAACATCGAGCTGGACCGCACAGCCAATATACCGAATCAAATGGTGGCATAAACCTAAGAGGTCGAAGGTCCGTGCGGATTCCTCCGGCGCCGCCCCTGGCGTGCTCCAGGCGCCAGGGATGGGGGTCCAGCGCCGATCCGGGAACTCCGCGCGAACCCCCGGTTTTAGCTGATAGATCGGCTGTAGGCCCCTGGTCGCGAAACCGAGCTGTTCTGGGCAGGGTGTGCTATTGGGCCTCATTTCGGCATTTCGGTGATCAATGGGCGATCCGGGGTCGATGTCTTCATCCGTGAGCCTCCCCCTCCCCCTGCTGTTGCCTCTGAAGGAGGAGCAGGGAGCATGGATTGGCCTACCTCCCTCTTGTTCTTCCTCATCCTTGTTGCCGCGTATCTTCAAGCCTGCTCCTCCTCCTCCCTCCTTGGTACTCTCTGCTCACGCCCTCCCCCGCGGACCTTCGGATGCATGTCTCCTCCTGGCATCCGATGCGAAGTGGTGCCCACGGCGCGCCGCTCCTCGAGGCCACCGGAGAGGTGCGCAGCCGAGAGTGTCGGCTGAGCCCGGTGCGCCCTCCCAAAAGGGCACGAGCTGGAACGAAGTATTAGGCAAGCGTGTTCCACTACTCGTTAAGTCACTACTCGCAAATGGCCTGGATCCACCGTTTGGAATTTACGCTATATTACATCAAGGCGACCATGGTTTTTCGGACGTTTGCGAGTAGGCATTTTGCGAGTAGTGGAACGCGCTCGGCGAAGTATGGAGGGTAGAAAGCCGTTTGATTTGCAAGAGCAAGCTGCGGTCGTGGGCAGAGAAATGCTCAAGCGGGATAGCATGGGCCCTTGCGACCCGTCGCCCGTCTTGGGGTCGGAAACTGCAGAGTTGGAAAACTTGCGCCAGATCCAAATGGCTCCGACGCCAAATACCTTCTTTCAGCGCGATTGCGCCGAAACCACTGCCTGCTCGAGCTCCATTTGAGAATGTCGCACGGTGAGACCTTCACAATTTCCGAGCGCGTGTGGCCCCCGATCGCAACGCCTCCCGCGCAGCGTTTCGAGCACAAGAACATCGTTCTGTACCGAAGCCCTGTGGCGGCTGCCAATATCAACCGCTTCAGCCTGGGGCCAGCGACGGGTGGAACTCACCCGAACTGCGCACGCCCTGGGGGCACCCGCCCCACAAGATATCCCGCTACCATCAGGCAGGCTGCCGTGAGGGATGCTCTGCGCCCCAGTGCCACAAGAATGCACGGCGGGCGACCTCTGCCCCGTACCCCTCCCGCTCTCCTCCCTCTCCTCCTCCTCCGTCTCCGCCTGCTCCTCCTCCCCGTCCTCCTCCTCGTCCTCCTCCTCCTCCTCATCCTCCTCCACATCGCATCCTCGCTCCTCTCGACAACTACATACTATGATTACTACTCACATCTTTGTCGAATATATGCGCCCTCCTCCGCACACTTTTTTACACACAGGGTCGGTACGAGACGTTTTCTCCCATGTATGTTTTTTCCCCGTCCAAACGTTCCTGCTGCAACGTGGGCGTCATTTCAGGATCGGCGCTTCACTCCCCTTGTTCAGAGTGGCGCTCTCGCCCCAGCGCGGGCCACTTCTCTGGATCCGATTCCTTCCGACTCGTTGTCGCCCCTCTCCTTTCCTCTCCTCCGCCTTCCGCTGGTCCTCCTGCTCCTCCCGCTCATGCCACTCCAGCTCCTGTTGCTGCTGTTCGTCCTCGCCTCTTCCTTCCTCAGCCTTCTCCCTTTCCTCCTGGTCATTCGCCTCCTCCTCATCCAATGTACGCAGATCCCATGTTTCCGATTGCGGAAAACACGAGGGTGTCCTGCTGGAGTTCTCGGTCCGCTGTAACAAGCTTCGGCGGATGGAGAACACAATCAGCGCGATGCAAAGAGTTGGGGGGGAGTGGTGGGATGTGGGATATGGCGCGAGCGCACTCAAGTTGCCTCTCTCTCCTCCCTCCTCTCTCCTCCTCCCCCTCCTCCTCCTCCTCCTCCTCCTCTTCCTCCGTCCTCCGCCCTCCGCCTCCTCCTCCTCCTCCTCCTCTCCTCCTTCTCCTCTCTCAACATCTCTCCTTCTCCTCCTCTTCCCTCCTGCTCGTCCTCCCGCCTCCCGGACAGTGAGACCTTCAACCCCGCGCCCTCCAGCGGCGGCCACATCAGCAACGTTGCTCCTGCGAGGACCAGCAGATCGCCGTCCGGGCCGGCGCCCTCCGAGGCCTGGCGCCGTCCTCCCTGGTGATGAGAGGCGGCTACCTGCCAAGACTGCGCTCCCGGTGTTCCGCCGTCTCTCGGGGGCGTCTGGGATGGTGGCGTCCATGGAGGAAGAAAAGCTTGCGTAAACATAATCTGTCTCAGCTTCGCGCGGATTTCTTGTATCGGCGCCCTCCCAGGCGCGCGGAGAGCGCCAGGGGCGGCGCCGGAGGCTCCACCAGGGGGTCTCTGCGCCCAACCAAGAGATCCGCGCGGAACTCCGAACGTTTCTGTTTGTGCCGTCTTTTTCTTCTTCGACGCATGCAGTCTGCCTCAAGCGGCGGTCGCGTCAGCATTGACCTGCCCTCGAGGGCCAACAGATCGCCGTCTGGGGCCGACGCCTTCCGAGGCTGGGCGCCGTCCGCGCATGATTGGGGCTGCATCCCAAGGCTGCGCTCCCGGCGTTCCGCCCTCTCGTGGGAGGCAGCTCCTGTAACACGAAACCAAGACTGGGACAAATCGGGGATCTGAGATCCGGCGGTTCTAAACTGTGTATCGGGCGCCGCGGCCGTTCCAAAGCGCTCCGGAACAATTTCTCCTTGGCCCCACCAGACTATCCCCACTGGCATGGCCTTGGCTCCACTGGCCAACTGATCCACCTGGGTAGGGATGTGATCCTGGGTCGAGGGTTCACAGGCCCCCCCCCGCCCCCCAGACAGGATGGGTCTCAGGGTTGCAAAGGACCCCCGGATGGGATGGGGGGACGACGACGACGACGACGACGACGACGACGACGACGACGACGACGACGACGGCGACGCCAACGCCGACGCCAACGCCGACGGAAGACGACGACAACGACGCCGACGCCGACGCCGACGGAACACGACGACAACGGCAACGACGGAAGACGACGAATGACGGCGACGACGATGACGACGACGCCGACGTCGACGGAAGACGACGACGACGACGTCAACGACGAACCACCCCACACCCACAGGGGGGCACTGGCACCCACCAGCACGCCACGCCCACAGGACCACGACAACAGGGACGGTCGCGAGGCCTTCGCGAGGCTCACGGGCGTAACCATCCAGCTGGGGGGAACTCGATCCCATGTGAATTGGGGGGCAACCCTGTATCATCTCTGCCTGTTCCTTCGGGATTCGCGGGGCATATCCCCACCCAGGAGGGTGGACTGATGAGGCCAGTGTGGATTGGGATAGATTAGGGGCTGATGGCCTGGGAGGTCTTCGTAAGAACGCTGAAGGGCAGTTCAAGATCGATGACGGGGGCCATTGAGCGGGATTAGCCCAAATTCGGCCTGGCATTGAGCGATGAAGCTGGATTAAATGAATTGTACCGGGTTGGGCTGGCTTTCGCCACGGAAGATAACCTCCCAAGAACTACAACCTAACCTCTCCGCCCGATCCCCCGCTCCGGGCGCGGCCCCGCGACACAGAGCAAGGTACGCGCCGCTGAGAAGGATCTGCTGTGCGTAGGGGGCGCGAGGTCTGCAGGGAGGAGGATCGGCTGTGTATAGGGAGCGCGAGGTCTCCATGATGGACTGCGCGTGGGGGGCGCGAGGTCTCCAGGATCGCGGGAGGGGGACCAGCTCAGGGGGAGTATCCCCCCCCTAACGTTGCCCCTCATGCGCATGCGCACTTGCCGCGAAGGGCAGCGTCGGGCCGCAAAGGCGAGGGGACGAATTGACACAATCGTCGGGCGCGCTCCTCCAGTCCGCGACCCGCCACCCGTACGGCGGCGACCCCGATCCTACAAGCGGCCTTGCGCTGAAGGCCTTGGAGACATCGAACGGCCCTGTAGCTGAGCAGCGCGCTCGAGCAAAGTCCTCGCGCTCCCGCACTTTCGCGCTTTGTTGGCAACTCTGGCGCGCTCTGCGCTGCCAAAAAAAATGTACTTGGGCGCTTCGGGCTGGCTGATTTCAAACTGAGATGACTGCTGGAGTCTGGGCCGTGGGCTCTATACCAGCCAGCTGTCCAATCGACGAGACAGTGCAAGAAAAACATATCATTCGATGCAAGACTGTCTTAGACAGTCCCTGGTGGCAACCTAGGTCTCAACAAGCTCGAGCTGGCCGTCGGGCCGTGCCACACGACACTAAAAACTGAAACCCGTGTTCGAGCACCAGCTCTGCTCTGTCGCCCTACCAGCAATGCGCTGGTGAACCCGACCCTACAAGAGACACGTTGACAAGGATATGCGAGAACAGGGCACGTCCACATGTTCTTTGCAACCCCTGTGCGCCTCAGCCGAGTTTCAAAGGCCATGGCCCAGCACTTGCATTCGGGGCTTCAAGTTGAGCGTGGAGACCAGGCACACTGACATTTGCTCGACTGAACCTAAAAATGTAAGCATCTCACCACACACTCGGACACATATCATGTCGCTGCGAGCATTAGCTTGGATGGCATCCTAGGTGGAGAACTGAGCGGCCAAGCACGCGAGCACAACCGCATGGCCTCAAATGGCGGCCGCTGCGGCATGCCACGCCGTGCGCCGCTCAGCTGGCGTGCCTCTCACCAGCCTTCTGGGCGCAGATGACCAAGCGAGCTACCAATTCCGAGCAAAGGCACGTCTGCCAGGGCACTGGGAGCCCACCGTACCGACCAGCACGCCCCACGAGATGGTGGGCTGCAAAGTTTGACGCGGGGGGCCAAACGAGCGAGAAATCCTGCATGGAATCCATAGGATTCAAATCGCGTGTTGCGCCAAGAATGGGCAACAAAAAAACGGACAACGCAGCGGGCAATCCAAGGAGCAACACATAAGCCCCACGTCGCAAGGCCCGTCGGGGTAAGCCGCCGCGAGCGTGAGAAATTCTACTAGCACTCACCTAGAGAGGGGTCGGGGGATCGCTCCACATCGCCGATGCAATGGCGATGCTTCGGGGACATCGGCAATGCATCGGCGCCGTTGGCGTTGAGAAAATCGGACCCCACATCCAGCCGCATCGCCGGCGCATCGGCAATGCGGCGTGATCTTCCGACACCAGTTACTCTGGCCCCGTTAGGAGGAAAAACAAAAAGCGGCAGAAGCATGTACTGTACTGTCAGAGGTCCGCGAGAAGTTCTTGGTTTGGCGTTGGACCGCTCTGGCGGCGCCACTGGCGCCGCGCCTGGCGTGCTCCACGCGCCAAGGGGGGGCCCAGCGCCGATCAAAGAAATCCGGGCGGACCTCAGATAGTTTATGTTTATGCCATGTTTCTGTTTCGAACTTGGGAGGCCGGATGTATTATCGCTGGGGCACACAGGCATGGGAAGGGACCAAGCTTCCCTGCAACTGCACCAGGAATGCCATGTGCAGTCTCAGCTCCCACCGCGGCCCCGCAACCAATCCCTCCACACAGCGGCGGGGACCAAGCTCTCCGAAGAATAAGAAACTCAGAGGAAGACCAGGACCCACCTCCAACGAGAACCCATCTGCGGGAGGCCGATCCCTGGGCTGAGGCACGCCAGATCGTCTCCCTGTACTGTGTGACGCGCGGGCGTGCACCGCCCAGGGGTCCGCCTCTTTCCGATAAGTTCTCGGTGCTGGTGGTCGCTGTTAATCCGCTGAAACAGCACAAAGATAAATGTTCAGAGTTTCTTGCAAATCTTCCAGGTCGGCGCTGGACCCTCCTCCCTGGCGCGCGGGGCGAGCCAGGGGCGGCGCAGCAGGCGCCGCCAGGGAGCCCAGCGCAGATCCGAGCAATCCGCGCGAACTTCGAACAATCATGTTTATGGATGTGTTCCTCTTCGAGCTCTACCGACTAAAACACGCCAGGCGGGCTGGACATTCGAGGGTAGCCGTGCTCCGAATATGTGCTCTCCATGCTGTTCGAGGCAGTGTCTTCGGAATCCCAGTGCTTGAACGGCGGGGTGTAATTGCCACCCTGGAGCTCCCGCATGGTAACGCCTCGATGGGAACGGTCGGGGAGTGGGACAGGTTCAGGGGGTGACACATCGACATGGAATCGACGATACATCGCCGATCTATCGGCGACAGGCCCTCGATAGCGCAACCTCACGTTCAGAGGCGGCGTGGGCTATCGGGCCCATATCGGTGTCAGTGGGCGATGTGGGGTCGATGTATCCCCCCTGAGCCTATTCCTTGGTGGCTTTCGATTCATAACTCGGGCCTCCGGCGGGAATTTGGAGCGATTCAGGCACCCTCAGGGCGCACTCGGCGAGGCGCAGCCGCTGAAGGCCAGAACCTCCGAAAACCTCCGAGAACATCCGACTACCTCCGATAACTTTGAAAGCCCCCAACATTGCCGCCGACGCCTGGGTGGGTGTACGAGAGCTCGCCGCAACGCCTTTGCTCGGGCGCACCGCAGCGCCCGCGTGCGGAGCCGCCCGCGACGGCGCCCTCGGAGCGGGCGCTGGCGGCCCAGAGGCCGGGGGGCCCGCCCCTGAAGGAAAGGCGCCGACTACACACCAAAGGGAAGCAGAAGGGCACAACCTGGTAGCATGCGCCCCCGTTGGAGGCGCACGTCCGCGCCGAACATAAGATTAACACAAACATCTCAGAGTGAATATGACATCTTTGAACACGCGCGTCGCTCCTGGGGTGCCGACGCACACGCATTACAGGTATGGTTGGGGTGGTGCCGAGCCAGCACCAATCCTGGCCAGGCCCATCCTGGGCCCAGGATCGGTGGACACGCCTTCCTGGCCGAGGCCCGAACACCAGATGCCCTCCTGAGCCGAAGTGGTCCTTACTCCAGCGCCTTGCATGTATGCCCCCTTCTGGCTTGGCCAGGAGGACGTAAAAATTACACCAGTCCTGGGCCTAGGCTTGGCCTGGCCAGGATCGGTCTTGGAGCAACCCAGAACGCTCAGTAAGCACAGTCCCCATGCCATTCAGCCAGGCGGCCCGTTCCCGTTCCAGCTCGCACACGCGCGCCGAACCCACCCCCTCACGCGGTCCAACACTCCCACGCCCAGCGCCAGACAGGCCGTCTCTCCCGCATGCGATCCCCCCGCCCGCACCTCGGAATCACTGCTTGCCCCCCCCTCTGAGGGGCAACGATGGGGGGGGTCTGGCCTAGTGACAGATGCATCGACCTGGAATCGCCGATACATCGCCGATAGATCGGCGATAGGTCTGCGATCGTGAATCCTCACCTTCCTGGGCAGGGTAGGGCTGTCGGGCCCCTATCGGCGATCAATGGGCGATTGGGGGTCGATGTATCCCCCCCTGTGCCCGTCCCCCCCCCCCATCGTTGCCCCTGACCCCCCCCCCAGCCTGACGAAGACGCCCGGAGGCGAGGGCCAGGGCGCCCGCGGGGCGAGCGCGGCGCAGCCCTCGGCCCCGGCGGCGCGGCCCGGGGGCTCCAGCCCGGGGGGCGGCCCGAGGCCTGGCGGGGCACGCGCGGCCTTGCGGGCGGGCTTCGAGGCCGCCTTTCCCAGATCTCCGGCGGTGCAATTTGTTCAGTCCCGGCGGTTGTCCCTTGATCTCGGCCCGGCTGCACGGCAAAGGGCCCCTAGGGGCCCTTTGCCGTGCAGCCGGGCCCATCAGAAGCGGATCCGGAGCGAAGACCTGGCCCCGGGGAAGGGGTCGGGACCGCTGGGGCCGCGGATGGACAAAAACTGCATCGTCGGAGGTTTGGGCTCGGGGCGGCCTTCTTCACGTTGGCCTCGTAGCGGACGTACGGGAGCGCCCGGGGGTTCCTATCGGGCGCACGCGATCCAAGGATTACGGATTCGTTGATCTGGCGCGTGGGCGACAGATCCACGGATCGGGGAAGGCGCCACCCGAAACCTGGCTGCGGTGCCACCCGACTTGGGGACGGAGACAGCCAACTCTGCATATTACCGGGACGCGCCGCTCATCCACGCGCCTTAATCCATGTTTGCGTTTCCTCGATCCTGATCCGGCGGGCGGCCTTTTTGTGCCACTTAGCGAGGGCCCCCTCGATGCCCTGCGTCTCGGAGAGCGAGACGGACAGCTCCGCGCTGTCGCAGCCGAGCTGGAGGCCGTTCATCACCTTCGCGAACCTGCGCGCCGATGCTGCCTCCATGAAGTTGATGAAAACGTAGCCCTTGTTGGTGCCCGTCTCGAAACAGAGGGGGACATACAGGAAGTCGTATGTGCCGCCGTACCCCGCCGAATCCATCCAATCCATGACCATTTCACGGTCAAGGTGGCTTGGTATGTGCTCAACGAACAGCGTGATCTCGCCTTCGATCGCGTCCATCGAGGAAAACTTGCTGTGCATGTTGCTCTGCGGGGTTGGTATAAAAGCGTGCGCCTCGTTCCAAACCGTATGAGCCAAATTGCTGCGGAACGCGGGCCTTCGAAATGTCATGTGCACCCACAGGTCGGAAGAAGAGAGTAGAAGCATGAAACATGAACGCCGCACGCGCCTTGAAGACGAAAGAAGACGGAAAACCACTCGACCCTTGAAGTAGGGAAACGCCAAACACGGATCGGAATCTGGGACTCAAAACATGCATGCTTTCATTGACCGGTGGATGCGCTGTTTGCTCTCAGTCGCAAACCGCTGCCCGACCTGGGTCACAAGATGGGCTCCCGCCATGCAAGAGCTGAGCCCGAAAAGCGCGGCGTGACTGGCCTCGCTCAGACTTTGTCTCGTCTCGTCGGTGGCCCTCTGTCCGTCCACCTGTCCGTCCACCCTCTCCTGTCAATCGCTGGTCCTTCTCAGATGGCTCAGAAGGACTCTGGCCTCCTGAGAAGCTCTGAGAAGCCCCGGCCGACTTCTGAGAAGGCCTATTCCCCTCACTTCCCTCCTCGGCGCGCCGCCGAGTGAAGACTTGCGCTGGCACGAGCCAGTGTGAGTATTGCTGCGGGGGGGCAGCCAGCGGTGATAATGTAGGACGACGGTGCAGCGAAAGCACGGGGGCAACGATTAAGAATTAAGAACAGAGCCTCTGCCACTGGGGAAGATGTTGGGGAGGATGGTCGAATACTGATGACGACGACAACAGCGCCCACGAGCAGGGCTTGAAACGCTTCTGCGTGAGGCCCCCCTGGGCAGTACTTCATCGCTGTCCTACATTACAGGAGTAGGTCCCCTGCCCAGCCTCCAGCCACAAACCAGACCTCCTGCAAAGGCCCCCCCACACACACACCTCGCTTCCCCCCCTCGGCGCGCCGCCGAGCTCCGGCGCCCCCTCCTGTGCCTGCCCTGGGGGCAGAGCTCCTGGGCATCTCGAGGAAGAAACCTGCAGGGCGGCCGCGCCCCGAGGCGCCCGCAGGCCCGAGGCCACTGGCAGCCAGAAGAACGGCGACGGGGGGGGGGCGACGAAGCGAAGGCATCGTTTGGAGGTCGCTGCTGGGGGGGGGGGCAGCGTTGTTTCCAGGGCCAGATCCCAGCACGCGCGGCCAGCGCGCGTGGTCCGCCAATTGAAGTGTCCTTACGACCCCATTCGCGAGAAGCTCTGATCTTAGGTTTAGGTTTGCTCTTACCGACGATCGGGCTGCTTGGGTTTTTGCTTATACCCTACAAGCATTGCCTCCGCCCCCTTCGTCGCCCGAGAAACAGCAGATCGCGTTCGCTGCCCCTCAGCAAGCTTCAGAGCGCAGGCATCGCGCAGCCATAGTGAACACCAGATCGGGAACAGAGGGGTTCTTCTGGCCACGGCGGTGCTCGGCCACGAATGCGTTCCACGACCAACACCTCAGGAACGGACCAAGAGATGGAGCCCGCCATGAACCCAAAATGATTATCATTCCAGCGTCATGACTTTATGGGATTGGTTCTCGCACCGGCCCTTGTTTGTGAACGCATGCTGCCACTTTGTCTGTCGAGACGCCCTCTCGCGGGGCCTTGGGGACTCGCAGCGTTCCGGGATCACTCACAAGGATCGGGTCAACTTGGCCTGCCCCTTTTATAGAGGAAGAACCAACTGCATAAACAACAACTTTCGGGGTTTCGGGCGGATGTATTGGATCGCCGCTGGTCCCCTCTGGCGGCGCCTCTGGTGCCACCACTGGCACGCTCCGTGCGCAAGGGAGAAGAAGATCCTCGGCCGATCCAAGGGATCCGCGTGGACCTGCGACAGGTTATGCCCATGCCGTTTGTTGTTATTCGACCTTCTCCTCCTGCTCCACAGCATCCTTTTCCTCTTTCAGGGGAGTCCAAGAGGGGGCGTCCAAGAGGAAGGTTGGCAAATCATGGCCCGAGGCATGTGCGCGGACGAGGGGGGGGACCCAGGGATGTGTTGATATAAAAGGGAACCATGAAACCTAGGCCATCATATCCCCCCGCCTGGTCCCTAGTCATCACAACTCCCTTGGACGCCCCCCACTCCTGCTCCGCATCATCCCCTTCCTATCCGCGCTGCTGCTGCTCCCCATCTCAGCGGATGGCTGGCCTCAGGAAAGATTGTCCTGTGAGAGCGCGTCGGGGACCTGCTGCAATCAGACTGGACCAGAAACGGCTGCGCGGCGGCGGGCCAGGACAATGCAGGATGTGGATCCAGAAGGCAATCTGGGATGGGTCCGATTCCCCCGCCTGTGCTGCTTGGCGGCGCCCACAAGGGGGTGGCGGCTTCTCAGAAGGCAAGGGCCTTCTTAGAAGGGTGTGGCGGCTTCAAAAAAGGCTTGTTAGAAGCCAGTTGGGCGTCTAAGAAGCCGCCTGCTTCTCTTGAACGCCCCCCCCTTCGTAGAAAACCGCTCCCCTCGCGACACCCACGTCTGCTCTGGGGGGAAGGGGGACAAGCAGCTGAGCAGGCACGCAGTTGTACGCAAGAACTGCATCGCCTCTCACCTCGAGCTCCTCCAGACGAGATTCGGGCACGCAGACACGACACTGCCGTATGTGTTCTCCAGGCTCTCAGGGCATCCCGTTGGGCCTTGTGAGTGGGCCTGCTGCAGAAATGCCCCTGAGGCGCGTTCACGGTGCCTTGGCACCGCGCACGGGATCTAACAGTATTCAGCATGCATCGACGACTCCGCGACAACAGTATTCACAATGCACGTGAGCGTGCTCGCCGCCACCGCCGCCCGTCCTCATCCCGAACGTCCAGAAGCCTTGCCCTTTCGTCGCCACGATCGTCGCGCTTCGTCCTCCCGAACGTCCGCAAGCCTTGCCGCCTGGCCGCCGCCGCCCGCCCTCTTCAGAACCGGCCCCTCCGCCTGTCAAGGAGCTCGCCAAGACGGAGGCAGGACGACGATCGGTCGAGAATGTTCTGAGACCTCGGGCACCTGGAGGACGTGCCGGGAGCCGCGGCCGTTCAAGAGCGACTCAGAACACTCTCGAGATCGTTCCCAGAAAAAGATGGGGGGGTGTCATGGAGCAGCGCGAGGGGACCAGGACAACGGAGGAGTAGGGAGGAGGATGAGGATGATCAGAAGAAGGTGGACCTTGATAAGGAGGAGGGGAAGGATAAGGATCAAACGTGCTACACTGGGTCATAGCGAACAGGCCGAGAAGGTTGGAGGATCAGGAGGAGGATGGGGCGGATGAGGGGGAGGATGAGGAGACAAACGCTCTGGAGCGATCCATCCTCATCGTACACCTGCCTGGTCCGCTCCCACTCCGACGCAAGAGGCCCAGAGGACGAGAAGGACCACATAACTCAAAACCCCAGATCCTCGCCGTCGGCACCGCCATCGCCGTCGCCACCGCAGCCACCGAGAGTCGGCTGTACGCCCGAGTGACCTGTGGTGCGCGGCTCGCCGATCAACGCACGCGATCCGACGGTAGCGACCTGCGCGCTTGGGTCTGCCCCCTCCCCCCACCAACCCCGGACACGCCCGAACGTCGCGCCCCGAACACCAGGTCATTCCGGCGAAGGGCCACCCTTACAGGAAAGAGAAGTGTGCACATGCACCGACCCTGGCCTGGGCCATCCTGGGCACAGGATGGGATCGCTGCATGTGCATGGAAGTTTCTCATCGCCAGCACTCGACGGCGTAGCCGACAGAGGCCGTCGTCGCCCCCCGTCGCCGTAGCCGCCGCAGCCGTCGTCGCCGTGCCCCGTTGCCGCCGCTCAGGCCGTCCGCGTGGCCCCCGCGGCGCGCCCGGCGCGGGGGGGCGAGAGGCCTCGCCTCCGATGTGATGCCGCCACCGCCGCCGGAGACCACGTAGGTCGTCGGCGCCAGCTGCGAGTCCGTGTGCATCTGGGGCCCGTGCGGGAGAGGAAGGAAGCGGGAGAGAGGGAACCCTGGGCCGAGGGCGGGTCTCGAGGTCGCGGCTGCTCTCCTTCTCAGTTCTCGCAGTTCTTGGTCAAATTCGCCGGCCCAACGGGCCAGGGCGTGCTGAGATCTCCGGTAACTGGTTAACAGTATTAACAGTATTTCTAGTTCGCGCGCGCGGGGCGGCCCCTGGGGGTCCCCCGGCGAAAAGTACCCCGACCAACGCCCGGTCGCCGCCCGACCGCCGCCCGACCAAGTCTACTCAGAGATGGTTTTCCTTCTGGGTGCGGCCTCTCAGGCTCCCCAGAGCGCGCTCAGAGTGCCCCAAGAGGCCCCCAAGACTGCCCAAGAGGCCCCCGAGACGCCCAAAGAGCGCTCGAAGACGCCGAAGATGACCCCAAGACGGCCCAAAAGGCCCCCAAGACAGCCCAAGAGGCCTCCAAGACGCCCCAAGAGCCTTCCAAGAGGCCTCCGAAGAGAGCCCCAAGAGGCCAAAATCGTTGATTTTCATTTGTTTTTTCTATGTTTTTTGTGTTCTGGCTTTTTCGGCTTCCGGACGCTCCAAGACGGCCCAAGAGGCCCCCAAGACCGCTCCAAGACGGCCCACGAAGCTCCCAAGACGGCGCCGAAACGACCCAAGAGAGCCCTCAAGACGGCCCAAGTGCCGCCCAAGACGGACCAAGAGGCCCCAAGACGGGCCCAAGAGGGACTCAGGAGGGATACCGAGAACTCAAAAATGGAGCCCTCCGTCCCAGAAGGCGCCCAGGAGGTCCCAAAGAGGCCCCAAGAGGCCTCCAAGAGGCCCCAAGATGTCGCCAAGAGGCCCCAGGAGACTCCCAGGAGGCCCAAAAGAAGCCCCAGAAGGCTTCAAACATGTCTCCCAGGCGCCCCCGAACGGCCTCTCAACAGACCCCAAGAGGCCCCCCAAAGAAGCATCTTGACGACGACTCTATTTCGCCCCATCGAGAGACGACCCCCAGGGAACTGCTTCACCATCAAAACTCCCCACGCAACGCGTCCGAACGACACCCGCCCCCAAGAGCGCAACATGGGCAACGAACACACAGACAAAAACCAGCGATGCCATATCACGGGCCGGCGGAATGAGCGAAGCGATTCAATAATCAAATGCTCCACTCGTCGCACACACGCCTGGCTCCGGTGGGACCGATGTACGTGCCTGAAGCAAGTCAGGAGCTGGGGCCGCGGAGGGAGGGAGGGAGGGAGGGAGAGGCTCTGATACTCCTCCCCTCTTGGGGCCTCGGCCCTCAGCAAACCAGGAGCAGCAGGCAGCATAAGCGTACACTTCCGGAGGTCCGCACGGGTGTCTTGGATCGGCGCCGAATCCCCTGAGGCAGCGCCTCTCCCGCTGGCGCCGCCCCTGGCGCGTTCCGCGCCTCAGGGGTGCGGCGCGGCGCCAGCGCAGCGACAGCTGCCCTGTGGCGCCATGCGGCGCGGGCGTGGAATAGCTGTTACCATCAGGAACGCCACGCAGGGAAAGAGTGAGGCTTTTTCTGGCCGCGACGAGCCTCGGCCACGAAAGATCTCCGCGACTTCACCAGATCGGAGGAACGGCCCGAGACCCGGAGCACCTCCTGAGCCCCAAGTAGCCCTCACATCGGCGTCTTCACCGACGGCGCGGCAACCCCGGAGGCGATGGCCCTGCTCGGCCCCCGCGGCCTGCGCTTGGTGCACTGGTGCGCCAGGCCGTGGCCGGAGGCGTGCCCGGAGGCGTGGCGCGGCGGGGCCAGCCGGCGGCTTGGCGCGGCGGGGCCAGCCGGCGGCGTGGCGCGGCGGCCCCGCAGGCGCGGGGAGGCACAAGGAGGCCTCTGGCGAGGCCCTCAGGGGCAGAATATGCTGAAAAGCATTATTTGCGGGTCTCGGCGCTTTGTGTTGTTGCCCGACGCTCTCGCCCGATATCCAACGATCCTTTTTCCCAACCATCCTGTGGTGTTGGGTCCTCGTTTTGAAGAGACGGCGCCCCGCGTTCTCCACCCCCTCCTCCTCCCGACTCCTTCCTCCTCCCCCTCCTCTCTCCTCCTCCTTCCCCTCCTCCCTCCTCCCTGCGTTTCACCCACCCAGTACAGCGCTTCGTGGCCCCATAGGGAGCTCCACCGAAGGCCCCAGTGGCACCGCCCGCATGCGTTAGCCACCACCCAGTACAGCGAATCGTGGTCCCATAGGGAGCTCCACCGAAGCCCCCAGTGGCACCACCCGCATGCATCAGCCACCACCCAATACATCGAAGGCCCCAGTGGAACCGTCTGCATGCGTCAACCATCACCAAGTACAGCGTTTCATGGCCCCACACGGAGCTCCACCGAAGGTTCCACATGCGTCAGCCACCACCCAGAAAAGCGTTTCGTGGCCCCATAGGGAGCTCCACCGATGGTCCCACTGGGACCGCCCGCATGAGCAGAGCATTCGTGGACCCATAGGGAGCTCCACCGACAGCCCCAGTGACACCGCCCGCATGCGTCAACCACCACCCAATACAACGTTCGTGGTTCCATAGGGAGCTCCACCGAAGGCCCCAGTGGCACCGCCCGCACGCGTCAGCCACCACTCACTACAGCGCCTCGTGGCCCCATAGGCAGCCCCACCGAAGGCCCCTGTGGCACCGCCCGCATGCGTCAGCCACCACCCAGTACAGCGCTTCGTGGTCCCATAGGAGGCTTCACCGAAGGCCGCAGTGACACCGCCCGCATGCGTCAGCCACCACCCAGTACAGGGCTTGGTCCCACTGGGACCGCCCGCATGCGTCGTCCACCACAACCAATACAGCGCTTGTGGCCCAATAGGAAGCTCCACCGAAGGCCCCAGTGGCACCGCCCGCATGCGTCAGCCACCACCCAGTACAGCGAATCGTGGCCCCGTAGGGAGCTTCAGTGGCCCGCATGCGTCAGCCACCACTCAGCACAGCGCTTCGTGGCCCCATAGGGGGCTCCACCGCAGGTCCCAGAGGCACCGCCCGCATGCGTCAGCCACCACCCAGTACAGAGCTTCGTGGTCCGACAGGGAACTCCACCGATGGCCCCAGTGGCACCGGCCGCATGCGTCAGCCACCACCCAGTACAGCGAATCGTGGCCCCGTAGGGAGCTCCAGTGGCCCGCATGCGTCAGCCACCACTCAGCACAGCGCTTCGTGGGCCCATAGGGAGCTCCACCGAAGGCCCGCATGCGTCAGCCACCACCCAGTACAGCGCTGCGTGGCCCCATAGGGAGCTCCACCGAAGCCCCATGGGCACAAACCGCATGCGTCGGACACCACCCAGCACAACGTTTCGTTGCCCCATCGGGAGCTCTACCGACGGCTCCAGTGGCACCGCCCGCATGCGTTTCCCCCAACCAGTACAACGTCTCGTTCGTGGCCTCACCGGGAGCTCCAGCGAGGGGCACCGCCCGCCTCCCTTGACCGGGGGTCGGCAGACCGGGGGCTGGGGCCTTGTATTTTGCAGCTGTTTCGGGCGCGCAAGCCCTGACTCCCAAGGGCCCTGTCATGCGCCCAGCCCAGATGTCCAACATGATTTCCACACCGTACCCAATATCCCACAGGGGCGGCTCGTGGCCGGACGAACCCACACTTGCAAGAAACAGAAACTGCAATGCAGAAACAACACATCTGCATTGCAGATTTTCAGATGTCCCGCAAAAGTGCTGCAGAACAAAAAAGGTGCAGTGCAGAAACAAAAATCCTGCAATGCAGAAACATCTGCATCGGAAAGGTCCTGCGGCGGCAGCGCGGCTTGCCTGGTCCTGGCGTGGCTCGCTGCACGCGGCTTGAAAGAAGCTCGCTTGCTTCGTAACGCAACCGAAAAAAATGCCGTGGCAGGCTGGCTCCGTTCCGGAGGCCGCATTAGAGGACATAAGAAGAAAGTGCACCCCGGTCTGCCAGCCCCAGGTCTGTGTTCCCACATTAGCCACTACTCTGTACAGCGCTTCGTGGCCCCATAGGGAGCTCCACCGAAGGCCCCAGTGGCACCACCCGCATGCGTCTCCCCGACCCATTACGGCACGTCCCTGACGCGTTTCGTGGCCCCATAGGGAGCTGCACCGAAAGCGCCACCCACAACGCGTTACTCACAATTGCAGATGGTTGGGTCCTTCGCCACGATAATGTTTCAATGCGGGGCCCCAAATGTCCTTCCCTGGGGCCGGCCGGAGAGCTGCCGAACCAACCCGAACCGCGGACACCCTTGTCGTTCCTGACTTCGGCTCCTCCTCCCTGCCGCCCCAGAGCGCCGGCGGACACTCTCCCAAGTCAGCTGGCCCTGGAGGCTTCGCACACCATGCCGAACGACAGTCGAGCTACTACCATAAGGAACGCTGGATAAGGAGCGAAGCCCGTTTATGGCCCCAAGGGCGGCTGGGTGCACGAGAAGGTCCAAAGGAACAACCAACGAAAGCCCTGAGGAACAGCGAGCCCCTTTCGAACCCGAACAGCTTCTTAGTCCATGAGGGGCAACGGTCGGGGGAGGGGTACTAGCTCAGGGGGGGGGGGGGACATCGAGCTGGAATCGGCGATGCATTTCCGATAGATCGGCGTTACATCACCGATGGCAGGAACGCACGTTCGTGGGCGGGGGGGGGGGGGCACCAGGCCTTTCGCAACAGTCAACGTGCGATGCGATTAAGGGTCGATGCGCACTCCGCTGAGCCTGCCCCCCCCTAAGCGTTGCTCGTGACGAGCCCGTTCTGAACCCGATCTCTTCCGTTTTTCATCGTCGCGACTGCACGGGGAAGAGGCGACGAGGCGGAAATGTAGAAGCAAGGCGCATGAGAGCGATGCGCAAGCAGGGGAAGAACCCAGGGGAGCCAACCTTCCCGGCATTCCAATCGACCCTGTGCCCAGGATCGACAAGGCCCGGGACGAGGGATATGTATAGATCCCGTCGCACGCCACAACTGCTCCCAGAACGTAGAGCCGGTGACCTCCGCCAGATATGTTCTAATACACATCCTGCGCAAGCCACAACAGCTGTTTTAGCATGCATTCCTCGGTAGTCCCAAAGGCAGACCAGGACGTGCTTCGTCACTGCTTGGGGAGCGGCAGCAGCAGGGAGGATCGAAGGCGAAGTGAGACATCGGCGGCTCTCCCGCGCGGCCCAAATCCGCTCAAATCAATCCAGGGGCTCCTCCCAGTCCTCCATCCTGACCGGGTTGTTCGACGCGGGCCCAGTCCTGGCGACAAGGCGCATCCAGGCGGTTCGAGAAAAGGCCGAAAAACTCCTAGGGGGGCCGCCGCTGTCTCGAGTGGTCCCCCTCCGATGTCCGTCACTGCTTGAGGAGCACCCGCAGCTAAAAGGGACAGAGGAAGGATGCGCGCTGTGAGGCCCTTTTGGTGGGAGGGGCGCGACGCACCAGCCGACCCTACGGGCTCCTCCTGTCGGCTCCGGCACGCTGCACCCGTATCCAGACGCCGCTGTACTCAGTGTCGTTGAATGCGAGGGCCTTCTCCATGCCCTCGTGGGTGAGGTAGCTGATGGCAAAAGAAACAAAAGCGGCACAGACATAAACTTTCTGCCAGAACCAGGAAACTATCAACATAATCTGCCGCCGTGCACAACAAACAAACAAAACACTCCAAAAAGAGGTCCGCGCTGCTTTCTTGGATCGGCACTGTGCCCCACTCACCTTGCGTGTAAAGAGAGCGGGGGGCAAAGCATGCTGTCACGCATGAGTCCCACCAGCACTCTGGGCGTCGGTGGTTTGGGGCGTTTCCTCTTCCACCCATCCTTCTTCCCCTTTCGGGGAGGGGTTTACCCCCCCCCACGCCCTTCCCTGGACCTGGACGGGGGGTCCCGCGAGTCGTCGGAGCATCCAAAACGGCCTCGGCGAGGAAACCAAAATCATTGGTTTTACTTTGGTTTGGGCCCCATTGTTGCCTCCTGAGGGGGGACTGTAATTAGCACCCCCCCTCCTGTGATCGATCTCACCCAAGATGGTCCAAAGATGGCCCCTAAGGTTCCCAAGGGGGCCCCAAGAGGGCCCCAAGAGGTGGCCAGGAAACCCCAAGAGGCCCCCAGGATGCCCCCAAGAGGTTCCCAAAAGACCCCCAAGAGGCCCCAAGAGACCCCCCAGGGGCACCCAAGATGCTCCAAGAGGCATCGGCGAGAATGCCAACTCATTGATTTTACATAGAAAGGTTTTAGCCACATGTTGGCCTCTTGGGGGGGGAACACTGGTTGAGATGACTCCAGGAGCACCTGGGAGAGCCCAAGATGACCTCCAAGATGGCTCGAGATATCCCAAGATGTCTCATAATGGCTTCCTCTGTGTGTTGCCCACTCCCCTGGTCGAGGCAATTCCTCTGGGCATCGTTTCTGGATGGGCTGGTGGGGATTCGTTTTTTGGTCGTGGCCGCCAGCGAAAGCGCATGGGGCGTCCGAAAACGCTGGTGGGGATATCTTTTTTTTCTTACAGCCGCAGGCGGAAGCGCCAGCGGCGGGAGGTCGCGGGCGGGCTACGGCCGCGACTAAATTGCCTAACGCGCGCGGGGCCGCGGATCAGGCGGCGGGGGGCGGCAGCGCCCAGGGAGGCAGAGCCCACGTGCAATCCAGGGAGTCTGAGACAGCCCCTGGACGGGCATGCAACGGTGCATCCAACGAGCCTGAGGACAGGCACCGAGGAGACCAAGCGCAGCCAAAATGGCGCGTGAGGCGTTCCCAGAAGTCCAGATGCGAACAGAAAGGAACGTTCCCGAGGACATCGATCCAGGGAGTCTGACAGGTAATACAGACTGACTGGTGACATAAGTCCAGCGGAAAATCCTGACGGCGACACCTGGTGGGGATTCGCGAAGCGTCAACAATCTGGTCTGCTGCCAACGAAGGCGATGAGAGGAGAACAGGTTGGATCTGCCAGTAGATCAGTCTGGGTCAACGATGTCCAAACTATGGTGTTTCGTTTGGTGCAGGCACCAATCCCGAAAATACCCTCGGACCTGCGAAGGTTTATGAATGCGCCGTCTTTTCCTCCTCGAGATGAACGCCGTGCCAGTGTGACCGCCGTCGTCGCCGAGGGGCATGTGGAAGCGGTCGGTCTCGCCGAGGTCGCCGAAGTCCTGCCGGATCACGTCCTCCGAGACTGCGTAGGGGAGGCCCCCGACGAAGACCTCGAACTGGCGCAGGCTCGAGGGCAACTGTCCCTTCTTGCCCTTGTCCTTGCCCTTGTCCTTGCCCTTGCCGCCCCTGCCCTGGGCCGGGAGCCACAAACTCCACAGAAGGGCACCGGCGCATGCCCCCCTCCTGCGCCTCCGCCTCCTCCCCTGACCTCCCGGCCCTTGTCGCCCGCACCCACCGGTCCTCTCCCCATCCAGGAGGGGAGGAGGAGGGAGTGAGGGGGGGCGAGGATGGACGACGAGGGGCGAGGGAGCTGGAAAGCGTGAAGACGGGGAGGATGACGACGAGACCATGCCGCAAAAAATTATCGCGCAGCTCGGCAACAAGACCCACGCGCACGCTTCGCGCCCTGAGGTCCAAAACTGCGGAATGGGGCTGCTGGCAGCGGGCCAGCTCGCACGCCAATCTGCTATATACCAGGCGAACATGCCTGGCACACAAGCTCATCCACTCAAATCCAACGATGCGTGTGTTGAAATGCACAAACGGTCATCCGTTTTTTAGCGTGGTCCTTGCCGCTGCCTGCTTTCATCCGCTCAACCCTGACATTTCGGTTCACAGAGCTCCGTGCAGAAAACCTTCAAGACCTGCCAGGCGGCGACGTGTGACTTGATGGTTGCAGAACTGGACCCCTCGCCCAGGCCAGCTCCCGCTTCCGCTGCGACGAGCGCGGAGGTCAGCTCAGCGCTCCCCGTGGCGGGGGCTGCGCGCCAGCCTGCAGGGAGCAGGTGGGCATCCACGGCACGTCGAGTGGCATACCCGCACAAGCTAGACTACCTGGGCGGAGTCTGGCGACACCGGCAGCCTCGCAGTCAGCGAAATGTGCAGCAACTTCATCACTGCGACTTTCAGATCTACCGGCAGCGGCTCAACACCGCGTGCATCACCATCGCGATGGCGATGTTTTCCAGTCTGAAGTTCGAGAAGAACATCCCGCTAGACGATCAAGACCCTGCACATTTCGAAGAATGTCAAGAGCGAGCTCGCGACGCCTTCTATGGGCGCATGCTCGAAGACAAGCAGATAACGATGCCGATCAACCTCAGGAACGGACTCTCAAGCATCGCCTGCGACGCTGTGCGATCGCTCACCCACAAGCAGCTGCTCGCGTACGGAATGGAGAGAGACACCAGTGGGATTGGAGTTGTTACCCATGACGTTAGACGACTCAGTGCTGAAAGAGAGACCTGTTCGAGCAGCCGAGTTGTTCCACGGCGCGCTATACGACAAGTCGGTCTGGCGTGCGCCGGGCGAGAGCATGCAGGAGCATATCACCAGGTGCTCGAAGGCATTCGATGACTTGAAGAAGGTAAGTGAGGAGACCAGCATATCGAATGACCTACAGGCCCACCTGCTGCTGAAGTTCGCTGGCATCGAGAAGTCAGACCACGCCAGCATCATCAGCAGCGCGGGCAACACGTACGACAAGGACGCGTTCGGCAAGGTACTACCGATGCGGCATCCCAACACTCACGAGCGCGAGTTAAAGGGCAAGCACGACCAGCGACCGGATCCAAGACAGCAGCGATATGGTCAACGACGACAGAAGCATCAGGATCAACACAAAGCAGCGCGGCAGACTGGCATCGAAGAGGGTGGCGAGGGCAGCGACGACGCCTCCAACAGCCAGGGTGCCCAGTCATAGACCGAGAACGGCTTCGAGAACTACCTTGGCGAGGACAGGGCCACGCTGGAAGACATAGACGGCATGGACGAGGAGGCCTTGGACAGCTTCGCGGCCATCGTCCAGCACAAGCAGCGGTTCCACGGCCGAGGTGGCAGCCGCGGCGGCAGGGGTCGGGGGCGGAGCCGAGAGCAGCGATCGCAGGCGGCGAGCTCGAAAGACAAGCTCCGTGGCAGGAGCGCACCAAATGACAAGCCAGAGCGGCGAGATCGGATCGAGAAGCTGAAACGAACTACGAGGTGCGCGAATTGCGGTCGGATCGGACACTGGGAGATCTTGGCTGCCTGGAGTCATCAGGCTCGTCACCGCCACCATCGACGAGGACGAAGAACAGCCACTTTGTGATCACGGACTACGGCGGCGACGACAAGCAGGTGACACCAACGGCTACGCTCCACAGTAACGTCAGGATCGCGGAGGTGTTCGTGGCAGCTAGCAGCGCCGACCTCGGCGCCAGGGCCAAGGCGAAGCCGAAGCCAAACCCGAGAAGCGGCCACCGCGACCCCCACTACGAGCCGCCCAGGCGCAACCACTGCCCACTCTCGGTCATGGCGCAGCCGTGCGAGCATGCGGTGTGCGCTCACCCACGGCTGTTCAAGGGCGCGAACGCAACGACTAGGTACATCACGTGCCCCCTGTGCGACGTCAACGGCATCAACGTGATCAAGGCCTACGGGAGCAGCGGCCAGGACCTCTGGATGTACCTCATGGGCTCGCTGATGTTCACTCCCAAAGGCAAAACGATCTGGAGATCAAGACGGCGGCCACGGCAGCGCTGACGCCGGGCTGCGGAGAGCCGCGCGGACCAACCGCCGTGGTGGCGGCAACGGCGGCCGCCGCTAGGACGAGTTCCCAGGCGGCGCCGAACAAGTCGCGGAAGGAGGTGGAGATCGAGGTACCCCCTCCGACGACGACGACGACTTGCCCGAGGAGGAGATCAACAAGGACGCCAAGGCGGACGACGACGCGGTCTACGTGGCGTACGTACCTGGCGGACTTCGAGCAGGACGTGGACGGCGTCAACGTGGAGGACCCCCCCGCTCGGCAGCGAGAAGATCAAGACGGGCAAGTACTCTGGCTTCACGTTCGACGACTTCGCGGACAGGAAGACGACCATGGACTACGGCGTCCACATCATCCAGAGGGCCATGGGCCAGGCGGCGCCCGGAGGAAAGCTCGGGGTCGACCAATTCAGGCACGCATGGTACCCAATCCTGCTCTCGGCCCAGGGCGAGTGGAGCGCGGACGAGCACCTCGGCCAGGGAGCGATGCAGGACCAAGATCCGTACATGCCGCGGGGCGGCCACTTTCAGGTCCTGATGATCAACGACATCGACGGAGACGGCACTGACGCGACCAAGCGGAGGGACTCCAACAGGAATGGCCATGCTCGACCAAGCGTGCCAGATGATGATGATGATGATGATGATGACGATGATAATGATGATGATGATGATGATGATGATGATGATGATGATGATGATGATGATCATGATGATGATGATGACGATGATGATGATGATGATGGTGATGATGATGATGGTTTTGATGATAATGTTAAAGATGATGATGATGATGATGATGATGATGATGATGATGATGATGATGATAATGATAATGATAATGATGATGATGATGATGATGATGATGGTGACCATGATGATGATGAGGATGATAATGATAATAATGATAATGATAATGATACTGATGACGATGACGATGACGATGATGATGATGATGATGATGGTGATGATGATGATGATGATGATGATGATGATGATGATAAGGATGATGAGGATGATGACGATGCTGAAGATGATGATGATGATGATGATGATGATGATGATGATGATGATGGTGATGATAATGGTGGTGATGATGGGCACGCCCTGGCATCAGGACTAACAGAAACCGCTGCGTGACAGGCAGCCGAAGACGGTACCGAGGTCGCAGGATACCAATTTCAAAGCGATTGAAGCGGGCGCGAAATCCGACACTATCATGACATGCCCGCTGGCATCTGCGGCGTACCATTCGCCATATCCGTGACCGAGCTAGACCAGGACGCGCCGCTCATCATCAGCAAGGATTCCCAAGCCAGCCTCGGAGTCGTGGTCGACGTCCCATGCGGCCCGTGGGGCGACTGTAGACGCTGCAACGTCTGGAAGGGCGGCGCTGCGGAGGCGACCGTCTGAGGCGCAGGACGCGACGAATCCCCTCCTGGCGCTGTCCGACCAGGTGGTGGATCGCGTGAGCCGCGGGAGGCACATCATGCTGGATCAGCAGCTCGGGTCCAGCGTCTACGACCAACCCGAGATGCAGAGTGCGAGGGAGCTCGTCAAGAAGGGTGTGCTGCTCGAATGCACCCCCACGGCGGTCAGCACGGCTACGCGACGAGAAGAGCGGCGACCCGCACTACAAGCTGATGAGAAGCCTCACCACGGCGGTCGCTGTCCACGAAGCGCTACGCGGCGCGGAGTGCGACCGGAGCCACTGGCACGAGCCCGTCGAGATCGAGAAGAAGACAAGGGCCGTGGCCAAGTGGCCAGAGGAACTCGAATAGATGGTGCTCCGCACTATCGAACAGCAAAACGACCCAGACATCGACGAGCACGTCGCGGAGGGTCTCTGCGTGGAGCTACCGCCAGGGTCCAAGAGGCGATGGCTCAGAGGAAACCAGGCGACGAAGCGTCCTCCACATGAGGATGGGCAACAATAATGAGAAGGTCTACCACATGATGGAGCTCGAGCTGAGGACGGGCCCTCGGTGGACCCCACAGGCGTCAGGGCCGAGGCGGCCGTGAACCTCGACCCAGTGCTCTCGCCCGAAAAACATGAGAGACGCGAAAGGTGGCTGAGCTACGACCCCGCCGTCAGGCGGGACATCCGCAACCTGCACGTGAACTTCGGCGACCCCACAAACATGACGTTGGCCAGGTGACTTGACTGAGGAGGTCAGGCGTGAACAAGTATTCCCAGGATGCCGTCCGGGACTTCAGGTGCGACGCCTGTGGCGACATGATTCGGACGAAGCACGTCCGCCTGGTAAGGATGCCGAGTCGCTACCAGTTCAGCTTCCACGTTATGCTCGATACCCTGTTCGCCCACGATGCGGAGGGCGGCACGCACGCGTTTCTCAACACAGTGTGCGACGCGACGGGACGCGACTCCAGGTGGTGTGGTACTTGCACAGAGGCACCCACGCGCCTTTGGCAAAGGTCGCATCGGACACGTTTCTCGCGGTCTGGTGCAGCTGGGCAGGGATACTGCAATCGAACTTCGTGGACCGCGGCAAGGAGTTCTGGAAGGAGCTCCTGGACCACATGTTCGAGAACGCGGCGCTGGAGGCCCACGAGCAGCTGGGCAGGATCGAGCGGTTTGGAGGAGTCTGGAAGGAGGTCTCCTACCGCGTCGTGCAGGACACCCAGGGCACGAAAGAGAAACACCTACGCGCGACATCGTGGACGAGGTTCGCAATGAGACGGTGATCTACGACGGATACGCACCAGCGAACTGGGTCCTCGGGACGCGCGGACTGCGCATACCCGGATCGGTTCTTCACGATGCCGAGGCGGAGAAGCTAGACGTCCAGGAAGCACCCCTGGACCTGGAATCCGCCATGGCCTCTATCTACTGTTGCGCGAGGCGGCCAAAATAGCCTTCATGAAGATAGGTAACGACAACCGCGTGAGGAGAGCGAAGCTGGTGAAATCGACACCTGCGAGGGGACCTGTCCAGGTCGGCACCTACGTCTACTTCAGACGCACGCGCGCGAGGCCTGGCGAGTCGCAGGCCAACTTCCACTGCTGGTTCGGAATCGCCCGCGTGATCGGCCACGGCTACCGCGACCCCGACACGATGGCCGACGGGATCAACGCTACGCTTCGCGCGGTGGTCGTACAGGGCAATCCACACGCGATCCGGCTGCGGTAAGGTGGCGGCACGGCTCTGGCGAGACCTGAGCAGCTACGATTCGCGACGGCTCAGGACGGACGGTCCTGGGCGGGGTGAGCCATTGGCACCCATCGACGATCATGGGACGATTGGGGGGTGATGCGTCGTCCCCCCAAGAGCCGATCCCCGTAATTTTGAGCCGGGCAAGTTCAGACAACGCCAGCTCAAAATCGAACCCCAGACCCCCCCAGGGGCCCAAACGCACCGATGTTGTCCGAGATGCGTCAAACAGTGGCGAACAGGAGGCCCCCGACGGACACTTACCGTTGTCTCAACTCACCCTCCTCTGATTGACGTTGCCGCGTAAGGAGGAAGGAGGAACTAGGGGGCTGCGCCTTTTCTCCCCCCAGGCCTTGCCCTTCTCGGCGGCCTTGCCCCAGGTCTGGTCCTCTTTGCCGGCAGCCTTGCCCTTGCCCGCGGCCTTGCCCTTGGGTTCTCTCTCCCCACCGCTCTTCGCCCTGCTCACCTTGGCGGCGGCGGGGAGGGGGGAGGCAAAGGGGGAGAGGAGGGGAACGGATGGGGGCAAGGAAGGTGGTGGTGGGACGCATACGTGGACGAATGATGCCGTGCTCGTGAGACTAAAGCCTGCAGAAACCTCCAAACCCAGGATGCGCTGCGTGGAGTCACGCTTGCCAGTCGCCACAGGACAGGAAGTACTGTTCGAGTCTGGTGCTGAAGCTGCTGCTTTGCCACATCGAAGATCTGCTTTCCTCGGCGCGCCGCTGCTCGTTTAAGTACAACTGTAGCAGGACGCAAGACGCAACCCCTCGCGGCACATCAGGGCGAGGCACAACCGCCGATTCGCAGTGATCCAGTCGTCGACGTGCTCCTCCAACTTAATGCCGCACTTGCGAAGCTGATTGGGGTCGAGCTCCTGTGTGCATCGTGAAGGAGATCCTGATGTGCTCTGCCCCATAGCGCCAAAAACTTATGGCACGCCCTGTGCTTGCAGGATTGGGGGGCGCGCGCGCCAGCCACTTGCTTCGCGGCGAGACGAATCCAACGTGGACCGTAGACGCCAGAAACACACACACACATACACATACACACACACAAAACGGCTATACATATATATATATATATATATATGTGTGTGTGTTTATGTATATGTATATATACATATATGGTGCCTGCGTCCTTGACACAGGCACGCCAACTGGGCGGCGAGTCGAGAACGCGGTGAACTTCGTCCTCGTTCGTGTCGCACGCGGTCCAAAACATGCCGCTATTGGTGACGGGAAACGCGAGGCCCGATAACGACCGAACTGCACTGCCTAAGCCGGCGTTGCGGATGACGTCGCTGCCGTCATCCTGCAGTGCCTGCGATGTGCCCCGCTACCAGCCCCCCGCAAGCCAGCGTCACAAGGTGTGCGGATGGCGGCGCCGACGGAACAGGGGCGGTGGGATGACCCTCCCGTGGCGGGGCCTGTACGGGGCTCCAGCTGGAAAGCAAAGCGGGTATGCGGTGATCCAGCCGCTCAAAGACCCGTCAACGCACCCGCGGCAATAGCGCCGCTTTCACAGGCGCGGTGGCAAGCGCAATGCGGAGCTGGGAAACAATGAACGGCAACGCCTTGCTGCATCCCCCGCAGCGGCCCGATAAATACAGGCGGCGGAACAAGTGCCAATTGTCCACGCAGCTCTTTAGTCGGGTGATAGCACTTGCGTGCCGCACGGTCAGCGTCGATAAGGGCTTGGATGTTGCCGTGAATGGGCGCTCCCAGGGCCACAGCTGGCCGAAAGGCCTGTTGCAGGCCGCTCCAGGACGGTTGCGTTCGTGGGAAACTGTCGCGCAGCGGAGCTGTCTGTTCCTGAATATGGTGAAGGGAAAACGCCAGCTGGTATGCTCGATGGTGGAGCGCATGCATACTGGCGATGAGAAAGGTTCCACGTTCACCTTCGTGATAACCGTTCGCCGCAATAAAATGCTGCAGGAGGGCTTGCCTGCGGTATACGTTGGGTGGCGCCGCTGGCGCGATGGCCGTCATCCCTATTGAAGCGCGGGGTAACCGCTGGACTCTGACGCTCCTGGGCGGTCGTCGACTGGGATCGTCCTCGACAGCGTTGACTTCGCCGTGGAAAGGACTCTATGGAGGGACGTCGTTTGCTCCGTCCGTCTTAGCGAGGCTCCAAGCCACAGCGGGTCGAGGTCCCCCCCCTTCGACGTTGTCACGCGGTGGCGAGCAAGGGTCGTCGAATTCGTCGACGTGGTCGGGCCCTGGCGGGCAGCCCGGCGGAGGTGAACCATCGGTGGACCGCGGCTTGCGCCGACATTTGGCAGCATCAACCAAGCCCTGCGGCACGCGGTGGAGCCGTGCCCCCGCGGCGGCGAGCTCATAAGCGCAGCGGTTGAAAGTTCTGAAATAATACTGATTTGCTGACACCTTGCTCCTCCGAGCGAATTTCCACATGCTGGACTTTCAACATAATTATCGGAGTGTGCCAGAAGCGCACGGTGGATTTGCTGCCAAGGTCAGCTTGGGGCCCCTCGCGATGCGGCTGTTCAACTCGGAGGAAACTCCACGTCCGCAAACGATGCCCCTGGTGACCTGTGCAGAAGCGCGTGCAGACGCCACTGGGTTGAGGCCCGGGCGTCGTACATGAATTAGGTTGCAACCATGCGCATTAGCTCCTTGAAGATAACGCTTGGCCCGGGCGCCCTGCCAGAGCCCGGAACGGCCCGCCAGGAGGTCGGAAGCAGCGGCCCCGAGGTTTTTGGCCGCCGCACTTGGTATCGCTGAGATCTGGCGGGCCCAGAGCTCGGAAAGCCAAAAACGCCCAGCGTTTATGAGGACACACTGTCTCGTGCCGAATGCGTGCTGCAACGGAGCGAGCCGAGTACTGATGCTTCAGAGTACACTCAAAATCCCTCTGAGTTCAAGGGGGGAGTTGACGCGAGCTCACTTCAGCATCTGGACTCGCCGCTGGTCTCACGGGAGACACCCGTATTGCTCTTGCTAGGAGGAGTCGGCTTGCGGGGGGGGTCGGGCGCGCGGGAGGCGGGCGGAGGCGTCGCCGGCGCCCCGCGCCCCCGGGGGGCTCCATGTTGGATTTCCCAGGCTGCGCCAAGCGCGCGCACGCGTTACTTGCCCGCGCGCCCACATTCGCGCAAGCGCATCCTAAGAAACTATGATTTGGATCGGAACCGGGCGACAGAGGGCATGGTGCGCCTGTCGAGGCTGCTTCTGGGAGCGATTGCTGCTGGCTCGACACGCGCGATATGCACGTGACGACTTTTGGAGGACGGGCGCTGCGCCGTCCAATCCAACGCGGCAATGGCGCGGTCCGGGGCGCGCGGCCGTCGCGGCACACGGCGGTCGACGTGGCCGCACGGGGCGCGCGATCGGCCGCGCGGTATTTGCGGGCCATTCGGCCGACGCTGCCGGGTCGCCCTCAAACAGCCCGCCAGGAATGCGCAAATGCGCAATGCGCCAGCGCGCCGCCAGGATATCGCCCTGAAAAGAACCTGTTCACTCTGAACGCCGACTGCGCGCCTCGCTGAACCAGCGAAGTCGCGCGGCGCGCCCGCGCCGCGCACCCGCCGCAGTGAACTCGCGGGAAAAAGGCCTCTCTGCATGAGTTCTGGCACCGATTCTGGCCTACTTCGCCGTTCTGGCCGATTCTGGTTCCATCGCCGATTCCACCTTTGATTCCGTATTGATTCCGTACTGATTCTTTTGATTCCGCTAGAATCAGGGGTCGCAGTTGTGCCGATTCTGTTTTGATTCTGTACTGATTCCGTACTGATTCCTTTGATTCCCCTGTGCCCCGGAGACCATCAGGCCGCGGCCCGAGCTCCCGCCTCGGCGGCGTGGTTTTTCCAGGAGCGCGGAAGAGTTTTGAGGGGGAGGGGGGCGGTGGGGGGGGGCGGGGCGACTTTTGGGGCGCATCGGGCGGCCGAGCCACAGATTTCCGGGCCCAGTGCGCGCGCCCAACATGGCAGGCGCGGGCGCGCGCGCGAATTCTCGACCGTCGGCGCATCTGTAAGTTCATGCACCGCCCCGCGCGCGGGAATGGAAACTTGCGTTGCGGTTTCAAATTGAACGCGCGGCCGTCGCAACTGCATCGCATTGCTCAGCGCGCAAAGCGCGCGAGCAGCATGGGGGGCTTTGCGTTCTCGCATTAGAAGTGCGCGGGACCGAACCGAACGGTCGGCGGCGCCCGCTCCTGCGCGCGCGCGAGGCCATCGCGTCAGCGCGGGAGGCTACAAGGGCCTGGGCCGTCGCCCTGGGGCGCGGGCGCAGCGCGAGGCCTGCGCGGGTCTCTCGCGCCAAACATGCGCAACAAGGTCGGCCCGCCCGCCGGCTGGCGCTCGCGGGCGACGACGCCAGCGCCGACTGCGAGGCCGACTGGGCCAAGAGGATTCCTGAGAGCCCCAGGAAGGGGCAGCGGGCCGCGATGGAATCGGCGCGGTCGTTGGCGCCCCCCCCGCGCCCGCCCCCCCCTGCAAGCCGACTCCTCCTAGCTCTTGCGCCAGGTCGTAAAGGCCGTTGAGATCAGTGCGACCCTCGAAGCTCTAATGCACGAGGCCCGCCGACGTCTGTGCAGAAACTGTGGTTTCCAAAGACTTGCCGTCTCGCCGCCTCATTGCGAGGCGCAGAGGCCGCTCCTCCGTGATCGGGTGTTCAAGGTTGGCCAAGCTGAAAGGTGCGCGCCGGCTGCTGCGTGCCGGCTGAGAGAAACCCGAGCCTCTTGATCCGGAACCATCCTCGAGATTGATCATGGGAAAGGGTATCTTGTAGATGTTGCACGGCCCGAGGTCGCACTACGGCGACAGACGCGCAGAGGCTCCAGCAGGCCGCCCGCCTCTGCCATCACCCAGGTGCTTGCCTGAGTTGGGGCCCTGCCTGTCCGCGGGGGTCTTCGGGCCGTGTTTCAGGAAGACGGAGTCGCCCACGTTCAGCTCTGCGTGGCGCTCGCCCTGCTCGTGTGCGTGCTTCAGAAACTCCTCGAAGTCCTCGAGCAGCTTCGTGGCGATAGTTTGGTGGATGCTCTTGAGCTGCCTGTAGGTCCGCGACGTGCGCCCCAGATTCCTGGAAACCCGTTGACGGCTTAGCAAAGAGATGCTCTGCTGGGCCGCGCGGCCGCATGCCGGTCACAAGCTCATGAAAAGGATACGCTCCCAAAACTCGTCGCGGAGTCGCTCTCATACTCCACTGCGCCACGCGGATCCACCGCGCTCACTTCAGGAGCGGCCAAAATGGGGGCGTCGAAGAGGGGGGGGTGCAAATCATGACCGCGGGCGCAGCGGGGGGGCCAGGGACGTACTGAAATAAGAAGAGGCGCCATGACATCTGGGGAAACATCACGGCCCACGCCATGATATCCCCCCCCCCCCCTAGTCATCATCCCCCTCTTTTCTGCCCCCGATCGCTGCCGAGTGGACTGCGTGTAGCTTTTGATGAAAGCATTGACGCGTTGGTGGGATCCTTCTACGTGGCCTTGAGCGCGCGGGTGGTACGCTGC